TTGTTTGCAAATAGTGTTGCAATAGCAACTGTTATGTCAGTGCTTGAATTGATGGCACAGCGAAGTGTGCATTGTTCGATTATTGATCAGGTGTACGCAGTGTCTTCAGGATGTGTGTCCTGTTTCTTATGTTGTCTTACATCTCTATTGATTGGTGTTTCTGACAGTCTTACTGCAACCAAAGATGCTACATTGCACTCAGCATCACAGTTGGATGCAGAAACCTGCCTTGTTTGTTTCCTATACAACTGGTACATGGCTGGTATTGAGGGAGTGTGGTTTACTGCTTCATTGTAATTATCACATACTGTGTTCAAATTGACACATACTGGCACCTGATTGACACTTACTGTGACCTGATTGACTCATACTGTGACCTGATTGACACTTACTGTGACCTGATTGACACATACTCTGACCTGATTGACACATACTGTCACCTAACTGACACATACTGTCACCTGACTGACACATACTGTGATCAAATTGACACATACTGTCACCTGATTGCAGACACTGTCACCTTATTGACACATACTGTCACCTGACTGACGCATACTGTCACCTGACTGACACACACTGTCACCTGACTGACACACACTGTCACCTGACTGACACATACTGTCACCTGACTGACACCTGACTGACACATATTGTCATCTGATTGACACATGCTGTCACCTGACTGACACATACTGTCACCTGACTGACACATATTGTCATCTGATTGACACATGCTGTCACCTGACTGACACATATTGTCATCTGATTGACACATACTGTCACCTGACTGACACACACTGTCACTTGACTGACACATACTGTCACCTGACTGATACATACTGTCACCTGACTGACACATATTGTCATCTGATTGACACATACTGTCACCTGACTGACACACACTGTCACCTGACTGACACATACTGTCACCTGATTGACACACACTGTCACCTGACTGACACATACTGTCACCTGATTGACACATACTGTGATCAAATTGACACATACTGTCACCTGATTGCAGACACTGTCACCTTATTGACACATACTGTCACCTGACAGACGCATACTGTCACCTGACTGACACATACTGTCACCTGACTGACACATATTGTCATCTGATTGACACATACTGTCACCTGACTGACACACACTGTCACCTGACTGACACATACTGTCACCTGACTGACACATATTGTCATCTGATTGACACATGCTGTCACCTGACTGACACATATTGTCATCTGATTGACACATACTGTCACCTGACTGACACACACTGTCACCTGACTGACACATACTGTCACCTGACTAACACATATTGTCATCTGATTGACACATGCTGTCACCTGACTGACACACACTGTCACCTGATTGACACATACTGTCACCTGATTGACACATACTGTCACCTTATTGACACATACTGTCACCTGATTGACACATACTGTCACGTGACTGACACATATTGTCACCTTATTGACACATATGTTTATTTGGTTGAGCCATACAGCCACAAATTGTTGAACCGCCCCAATACAGCTGGAATATTACTGACTGCAGCATCAAACAACAAAGAAAGAAACAGACAAACGTCTTGTTTATCCATCAAGTTAATGACTTATTCAGTGACCCAATGTGAACAATATGTTCCTGAAAACAGAACATAGTGGAACACTGAGCTTTTTCATCAAACTAATGAGTTGAACCTCTCAGGACCAGTCCTTTGTTGTTGTGTTCTTTCCATTTCACTGCACAAACTGCACCATGTTGACATGATGTAATTACTTCTTCAGCATCCTTGTTAATAAGTGTGCTATGTTATGTTTTGTTGCCAGTGACAATCTTAACACGTTTCACTTTAAGATTTCACAGGCATTTGCAGTCTCAGGCCAAATTAATTGTTTTTTCCTCATGTTTAGTTTAAAACTGAGGAGTTAAAAATATATATAAATATTAACGTAATGGCTATATGACCACCTTGTAATGTATTATGAAGTCTTGTTTTCCAATATTGCGACCATGTCTGCAATCTGTATATGTGGAAAGCATGTCTATAACATTGCTTCTTATTGCCTTCCCATCCGTGAGGCTGCGGGGCAGAATAGATCTTCAACAACCCATGCTTGCCGTAAAGCCGACTATGCTTGTCGTAAGAGGCGACTAACGGGATCGAGTTGTCACGCTCACTGTGTTGGTTGGTGCATGTCATCGATCAGACCTGTGAAGATCCGGGTCAGAATAGGTCTTCAACAACCCATGGTGCCGTAAAAGGCGACTATGCTTGTCGTAAGAGGTGAATAACAGGATTGGGTGGTCAGGCTCGCTGTGTTGGTTGGTGCATGTAATTGATCAGACCTGTTAAGATCCGGGGTAGAATAGGTCTTCAACAACCCATGCTTGCCATAAAACCAACTATGCTTGTCGTAAGAGGTGAATAACAGTATCGGGTGGTCAGGCTCGCTGTGTTGGTTGGTGCATGTCATCGATCAGATCTGTTAAGATCCGGGGTAGAATAGGTCTTCAACAACCCATGCTAGCCGTAAAGCCGACTATGCTTGTCGTAAGAGGTGAATAACAGGATTGGGTGGTCAGGCTCGCTGACTTGGTTGGTGCATGTCATCGATCAGACCTGTTAAGATCCGGGTCAGAATAGGTCTTCAACAACCCATGGTGCCGTAAAAGGCGACTATGCTTGTCGTAAGAGGTGAATAACAGGATTGGGTGGTCAGGCTCGCTGACTTGGTTGATGCATGTCATTGTATCCCAATTGCGTGAATTGATGCTCATGATGTCAATCACTGGATTGTCTGGACCAGACTAGATTATTTACAGACCGCCGTCATATAGCTTGAATATTTCTGAGTGGGGCGTTAAACAACAAACAAACAAACTATATAAGTACAGTAATCTTGAATGTGACGTTCATCCCCATTTCACGTCACCTTCACATGCTGCAAACTTTCGTACTTTGAGGGGCGGTCAGGTAGCCTAGTGGTTAAAGCGTTCGCTCGTCACGCCGAAAAACCGGGTTCGATTCCCGACATGGGTACAATGTGTGAAGCCCATATCTGGTGTCCCCTGCCGTGATATTGCTGGAATATTGCTAAAAGCGGCGTAAAACCTCACTTTCGTACTTTGATCTACGGATTTGAACCATTTGATCCAATAGTTATAATCCAAAAATATAGATATATTTATTTACCCAAGCTCTCTAAGATTATGAACTGCATATCTTCAGGCTGTCCTGCCACATGAAGTTGACACGCCACGATATAACTGGAACATTGTTCAAACGGCGTTAAATCCAACTCACTCACTTCCTTTATGAACTAGAAAAATAATTAGAGTTAAATGTTTAAATCTAACAAAAACAAATTGAGGAAATGCATGGATCACTGGACTGTCTGGTCTGGACTTGATTATTTACAAACCAACGTCATAATTGCTGGAATATTGCTGAATCATGGCATTGAATAAAGCAACAAAACCCTTTCCATATTCAATAGAAATCTCTGCATAAAGCAGAGTTGTCTGTACCATTCTGACTATATCATGAGCACATGTTTATGAATCACTATCAAATATCAAATATTATAAGGAATTTTGAATAAAACCAATGAAATAAGTTACAAACATAAGTCCAGATATACAAAGAACACTTTTTATAGCCAGACGGTGTAATTACATAATTATTTTGCGTACTTCAGTATGGATTTGTTGACATGATATTCCCGGTGTTTCGTGCTCACGGTAATGTCTTTCCATGGGGGAAAAAAACATCCAAACTCATAATTCGTGTATAATGCGCACCCCCTTCTACACAGCTGTGTTTTTTCTAAAAAAAGTGCGCACTATACTCAAGAAATTACGGTAGTAATAATACCAGGTGTTCGCGAAAAGGTCAGCGTGTCCTGCCCCACTGGTGGCACCTGTCATTTCGATATTTTGGTATTATTTTAAAGCAAGATTGATAAGGTTTGTGTGATATGTCTTATTGGCTGATCATGTGTGAACAGTTGACGCTGTATCAGAGCTCCAGATAACGTTTTGAGCAATTAAGTTTTTACTCGAAGGTTTCTATTCTATTAGGGTTATTACATTTTTCATTGGGTAACTGATATTTTTTCACTCATCTATTCATCACTCTTTTGGGTTTTTCCCAAAATGAGTAAGCATTTTGAGATTTAAAAAAAAATGAAATAAGGTTAATATGTATATAACGGTTTTAATTATAGGCTTGACTCGGAAGTAAATTGGCTCCAAATTGTGTTTCGGAAATTAGCTCCATAGTACGCATGCTGAAAAAGCTTCATTGGGTTTTCAAACAATTGAGTTTTTCATGTAATGCATGCGTTTCTGTACGCAAGTTAATTGAAAGTAATTGGGTTTTGAATAGTTTTGGGGGCATTTTATGCAGAGACGCAGCTTATCCGTAGCTCTGGCTTTATGGATCACTACATCACTGAACAATTCAGTAAATGTGTCGGAACATCTGCAGAGAGGGCAATTAAGTTTCCTGCATCTTCTGGAATTTTTTTTTTTTTCAAAAGTCCCATTTTTCCATCTGGAACTCTTAGATCGAATGCAAAGAGCAGTATTAGGATGTAGGACATCAACTTAGCATCTTCCACAGGCTCACTCACTCACTCACTCACTCACTCACTCACTCACTCACTCACTCACTCACTCACTCACTCACTCACTCACTCACTCACTCACTCACTCACTCACTCCAGGCATGTATATTCTGATCTTACTAATATAAAATATTATTTTAGACTGAATTATGTAAAACAGGTGAGCTTCTGCTTTAATTTGAACTGAAAAATGTAATATTACAAGATATTTGTTTTTGATAACAAAGGTAGTTCCACCTATGAAAGGTGAGCTGCATTGCCATTTTGGCACATCATATATTTTCCTGAGTTGTTTTGATGTTGTTTCCAAATGCATGGATGTTGTTTGATGTTGCATGAACTTTCTTCCTCCTCCAGCCATTGCCAGATAAGATCGGCACCAAAACCAACCGTTTCATCCTGCACACCTCCGGTAAACAGTATGAGTTGTCTGCCCCTGATCTCAAGTCCAGAAATGAATGGATATCAGGTACAATAACTTGCAATGACTCCGTTAGTACTGACTCCAGTTAGTAATGTTTTGTGTTGTCAGTGTGAACTAACAGAGTCAAGAGTGTTTGTCTTATCTTTAAAAAACATGTTGAGGTTACTGGTGTTTGTTTGTTTTCTAACCCTCCACCTACCTACCTACGTACCTACTAGGGGTGTCATGATAAATCAAAATATAGATATATCGCTATTGGTAAGCACTTAAAGTCAATAAATCGATTGTTAAATCAGTTTCCGATCAATAGTATCGATTTCAATTAGGAATATCGATAGTTTCGATTGTTTTACAGTTTCAATAAAATACATGCAATACTGTTCAAATTTGTTTTTCATTTGATCATGAGTGGTAGTAATTTACACATGGTAATGTCGAAATTTCTTTTTCTTAAATTATTAGGGTAAAGAAAAAACAAATCAGTCATATCTCAAACTTTACTTTTTATTTGTTGTTATGGTTATCACATTTAAAGGAAACTTCAGTTCCAAGGTTTAGTTGAACTCTAAAATCCATCTAAAACGATACACTGAAAACTATCGATATTTATCGCAATAGTTGCTTGCAATATCAATAGTTATCACAATAGTGATTTCCAGACCAATAGTCACCCCTAGTACCTACCAACCTACCCTTTTATCTCCACACTTCACTTCAGATGCTCCCAGTGTGCTTTGATGCCAAGGTGATCTGACATATCTTAGTCCCTTTATATCATGCTTGGATGCAGACGGGAGTATAGTTCACCATGGTCCAGTACACTTGAAGATCCGGGGTAGAATAGATCTTCAGCAACCCATGCTTGACGTAAAAGGCGACTATGCATGTCGTAAGAAGTGACTAACGGGATTGGGTGGTCAGGCTTGCTGACTTGGTTGATGCATATCATCGATCAGACCCGTGAAGATCCGGGGTAGAATAGGTCTTCAACAACCCATGCTTGCCGTAAAAGGCGACTATGCTTGTCGAAAGAGGTGAATAACAGGATTGGGTGCATGTCATCGTATCCCAATTTATTAGATTGATGCTCATAATGTCAATCACTGGACTCTCTGGTTCAGACTGGATTATTTACAGACCACCATCATGTAGCTTGAATATTGTTGAGTTTGGCATCAAACAACAAACACACACACCATGGTCACATATGCTTAAAGATACCAGGTGATCTGTCATCCAGTGTGCACAGATACCAAGAGGACATCAGCGCTATGTGGTCCTTTCTCATGGGCTTGTATGCAGATGGGAGATGGATGGATAGATAGATGGATGGAATACACTCATGAAAGGCCTTTTCTATGTTTCTGGAATATTAAGCAGGCAAAAGGGGACAAAGCACAAAATCCCCAGTTCACTTACATGCCACTTGTCTCTGTCACCAGCAATACAGAAGGCCATTGACCACTCGTACGCCAGCAAGGACGAGTCCATCCAGCGGCTGTCATGGTGGGAAAGAAGGAAAGAGAGAGCAGCAAGGCGGAAAGAAGCAGATGAAGAAGCCAAGAGGAGGAAGGAAGAGCAGGAGCTCCTTGTGAAGCAGCAGAAGGAGCTGGAGGAAGAAAAGGAGGTAAGGCGTCTTGGAATTAGCTTGTGCTTAAAACTAACAGATGTCCCTGTGATCTAAGGCACTGCAATTTGATGTGCAGAGTTGTGTCCCTTTGGCTTGCCAGGAACCTATGTCTTTTTGTTCCAACCCAAAATCGGCCCGATTATGGTTCTAGGTTTATCAGCACCATATCTGTGCTTGTGGGTTTCACTGAAGTGGTAGACGTCTAAGACTGCATTACCTCGGGATTTCCTCACACGTCAAGTTGGCATGCTGTGATATAACTGGAATACTGTTCAAACCCAACTCACTCCAAACTGTGTGCTAGACAGTTTCTGTTTCTTAATTTCAGTGGTATTTTAGAATACAATTTGCCTAAAAAAGTAAGTCTTTGTTGCCTGACGCCACACATCAGTACTCCTTTCATGCAACAAAGGCCTGTAAACAAACCAGACAATCAAATGATCAATGGACCAGAAAATCCAGTGACATGATAGTGCACTTACTGACTTTGTTGAGACTAAAACGATGTCAACTAAGGTTCGTTTCACGGTGTCAATGGTGGTAATATGATCTTGGTTGCTGTAGATAACAGTGAGTTGGTAAAGCGGACTTATGGAACGGGGCAAACGGAAGTTGTAAGTCCCGGAGGGACACACGATTTCGCCGAAATTAAAGTAAATATTATTGAATGAAAGTTTGATTAATATTAATGAAACAGATTATGTAGATTACAAACATGAGTCCAGATATACAAATAAACACTTTTTATTACCGATGGTGTAACGACACGATTAACTTGCGACTTGTTGATATTCTATTTCCAATGACAGATCATGATAAGATGTAGTTTTATGTTTGGGTCTGGCTTATCTACCGCATGTAATATTTTGATACAGATTTCTCGGCTTATCTATGAGATCGGCTTATCTATGGTCATATACGGTATGTAAATATTGGATTCAAGAAGGTTACCATGGTACAAGAAGTGGGGATGCAGCTGCTGAAGGTGCAAGGAAGGACACTACCACTTCACTTTTGATGCATCCTCTATCTCCAGGGCTTGCCACTGAACCTACATAACCCCTGGATCCATTTGTGTGGTGTCCGCTTTCTCAGTGGCGGTGTGGTAGCCTAGAGGTTAAAGTGTTCACTTGTCTTGCCGAGTGATTAAAGCGTTCGCTTGTCAATACCTGGGTTTGATTCCCCACCTGGGTACAATGTGTGAAGACATTTCTGGTGTCCCCCACCGTGAAATTGCTGGAATATTGCTAAAAGCGGTGTAAAACCATACTCACTCACTCACTCTCTCGATCTCACATTACTTGGCCTAGATGTTCCTTGACATTTTACCGACCATTCACAGGTTAAAATAACAAAGAAGAAAATGGGTAAGGGAGGTAACTTGAAAACAAAGCCACTGCTGGTTTTATTGGAAAGGAAGGCATCCTTTTTCAGGCAGAATATTTTTTAGGGATTTCTTATGTGTATTAGTTGTTCAGTGTTGAATTTCTTGCAGATTCTATTGAAATCAATGGGACTAGTCGCTATGTTTTTGATATCGCCAATCCATCATTGAGGCTGGTTTGTAGTTCACATTCTGATTGGTCCGTTAGACTGAGTAGCGTAGCCAGTCAAACTGCCAAATGAAAATCAAGTCCAGGTAATTTAGAATTGCGAGAACCTCGAGAATGGACCCATAGGTTAGTGTAGGTTTACCGAAATGCAAGCCCTGTGGATATCGAGGATGCATTTGATAGCTATATGTTGTATCTTCCCATGACACACACAAGTGATTCTCATAACCTATATACTGTAAAACGTGAAATTAATGCGTCTCCAAGAGAATGCGACCGCTGGCCTCCAGCCAAAAATGCGACTCAGTATGAATGCCACACCCCCTCCTCTCAAGCTTCAGTGGATTTATATCTAAACAAATTGTCCTCTGTCAGATTTACAGGCGAATCCTCACATTAATCCAACCTTACATTAATCCAATCACTCACCAAATAGCACCGCTTATTAGCGCTGAGTAGGGTACTTCGCTAAAACAATACATGTGTGCTGGCTCGTGTAGGCCTTTGATGCAGTCGCAAAGAACAAAGACACTGTGTTGGGTAGGTTGCGTCTGTCTGGACTTGCAGGTGTGATCAGTGATGACAAATATGAGTGACAATACACAGGATGTAATTAGCAATTAGTGTTTGAATGACATTGTTTATATACTTGTTATAAGTGCTGCTCAATAAACAGTGTTGTGGAATACATGGTTGTTTTTGTTTTCAGCGTATGTCTATGTTGGTATTTCTGCTATCCAAAATGTCTTATTGTTGATATAAATGCGATGTTTAATAATGTGAGCAAAGACCACTCGCAGCTATCGCATTTAATTCATGCTTGCGTTAATTTCAAGATTTACAGTATTTGAACAGGATGGCACAAGTGATTATTCCTGTCCGCTGATCAAGTGTTGGGTAGTGTATATGAGGGTGTGTTTATATGCATTCTTCAAGCTTGGTCCTACCGCATGTATTTATATTGCAGCGGAACAACAGAGATAAGCTCCTTCTTGAACAACAGCTGCAGGAACTGGAGGCAGAGAGACAGGTCAGTATGGGGTCAGTGGTGATGAGAGAGAGATGAGAGAGTGACAAGAGAATGATGAGAGAGTGACAAGAGAATGATGAGAGAATGACAAGAGAATGACAAGAAAGTGATGAGAGAGTGACAAGAGAATGATGAGAGAATGACAAGAGAATGATGAGAGAGTGACAAGAGAATGATGAGAGAATGACAAGAAAGTGATGAGAGAGTGACAAGAGAATGATGAGAGAGTGACAAGAGAATGATGAGAGAGTGACAAGAGAATGATGAGAGAATGACAAGAAAGTGATGAGATAGTGATGAGAGAGTGACAAGAGAATGATGAGAGAGTGACAAGAGAATGATAAGAGAGTGACAAGAGAATGATGAGAGAATGACAAGAGAATGACAAGAAAGTGATGAGATAGTGATGAGAGAGTGACGAGAATGATGAGAGAGTGACAAGAGAATGATGAGAGAATGACAGGAAAGTGATGAGATAGTGATGAGAGAGTGACAAGAGAATGATGAGAGAATGATGAGAGATTGACGAAAGAATGACAAGAAAGTGATGAGAGAATGATGAGAGAGTGATGAGAGTTGCAAGTGATAAGAGAGTGATGAGAGAGTGGCAAGTGACGAGAGAGTGATGAGAGAGTGGCAAGTGATGAGAGAGTGATGAGAGAGTGATGAGAGAGTGGCAAGTGATGAGAGAGTGGCAAGTGACGAGAGAGAGAGATGAGAGTGATAAGGGTAATAAGAGAGATGAGAGAGAGAGAGAGAGAGAGTGGGAGTGGTGCAAGTGATGAGAGTATGATTAGAAACTATCAAGTGACAAGAGAATGATGAGAGAGTGACAAGAGAATGATGAGAGAGTGACAAGAGAATGATGAGAGAGTGACAAGAGAATGATGAGAGTGACAAGAGAGTGATGAGAGAATGACAAGAAAGTGATGAGATAGTGATGAGGTAGTGACAAGAGAATGTTGAGAGAGTGACAAGAGAATGATGAGAGATTGACGAGAGAATGACAAGAAAGTGGTGAGAGAATGATGAGAGAGTGATAAGAGAGTGATCAGAGTTGCAAGTGATAAGAAAGTGATGAGAGAATGATGAGAGAGTGATAAGAGAGTGATCAGAGTTGCAAGTGATAAAAAAGTGATGAGAGAGTGATGAGAGTTGCAAGTGATAAGAGAGTGATGAGAGAGTGATGAGAGAGTGGCAAGTAATGAGAGTGATGAGAGAGAGAGATGAGAGTGTGATAAGGGTAATAAGAGAGACGAGAGAGAGAGAGTGGGAGTGGTGCAAGTGATGAGAGTATGATTAGAAACTATCAAGGGACAAGGTAATGGTTAGGGAGTTGCAAGTGACGAGAGTGATGAGAGAGAGATGAGAGAGAGACATAGAGTGATCAGAAAGTGATGAGTGACAAGAGAATGGTGAGTGTCATTAGAGTGAGACAAGAGGGTAAAACATTCTAAAACATAAAACATTGATAAGACGTTTCACTTTACAATTTTCCCATGTTTCTGTTTTACTGCCTCTTAGATACTTTCATATTTTTTCAACAGAACATCAAATATTACTATCAGAAAATAAGATAAGACTAATGTGAATTTACTTTTGTTTGCCAAACAGCTGTATCATATTTGATAGATAAAACTATACACCTTAAACAAAAGGTCATTGGTTAGAAAGATTTGATGAAATGCATTGCACATACAGTGGTCCCTCGCTACAACGCTACCAATGGGGTCCAAATAATTGGTGGGCGTTATAGACGATGAGCCGTTTAACCGAGGCCGAGGCGGGGGAGCGCGCTCGGCAAATCTCAAATCATCAATATGTGTTTATCTCACGTCACGTCAAAATAGTATATATTTTTATGGACCTAGATCTACCTGTAATATCATTCATTTATTAAATGTGTCACATTTCACAATGTCTGAAATACGTATTCCATTTCAATTTATCATTTTTTATGTTTTCAAACAGATTATTAGAACTCCTTTCAGCGATAAACGGTTGATTATGCAATGAGAAGCGTTATGTGCAAATGAACAACGAACAATAATACAATTATGTCTGTGTAAAACTCTCAGTAATAAAAGTGTACATAAATTTTGGGAGCCATGCGTTACCGCGCGTAGTAACCAAGGTAGCGCTTTATCGAAGAGCGCAATAGCGAGGGATCACTGTATATTCTTTCCTCTTCAGAGACATTATAAGAGCACTAAACCTTTTCAGACATCAGCGATAAACGAAAATTAATTTACATCACTGTTAAAATATTAACTATCGTTCTCTTTAACTATAACAAAAATCTCTGTTTTCTCACTAAGCTGACTTTAAAAAATGTATGCCAAATATAATTTAATCGATTGTAAGCTATACACATTTATTTTAATGTTTGTTTCCACCTACACAATCTTGATGAGGAAAATATTCTTACCTCTTTAGCTGTAGCCATATTTCTTTTTCATCAGTATGCTGTAAATCTAGAAAGTTTTGTGCCATGATACTGCAAGTGGCTATCAATAGCCTTTACTGTTTGACCACCTCCGTGGTCTAGTGGTAGAGCGTCCGCCCAGAGAGCGGAAGGTCCGGGGTTCGATCCCCGGCCGCGTCATACCAAAAGACATTAAAAGATGGTACTTGTTGTTACCGGGTCTGGCGCTCGGCATAAAGGGGATAAAACAAGGACTGGTCGGCTCGGAGTCAGTATACTGTGTCTGAGTGTGGTATTCATGTTAAACTGCGGCATGCACGTCGCTATATATAAGTGCAATAATCTTGGATGCGACATTAAACCCCATTTCACCTTACCTTTACTGTTTCTGGAATGTTTTGCGACACCCTGTTAAGATTACCAAATATCAAATCTGGTTCTATTTATGTCAACTTCATTATTATGAGAAACACAATGTTTTGGAGTATATACTTACTTACTAACTGTATTTGATGTAATAAGCGCCCCGCTCTTATAAGCTCCCACAGCGATATTTGCTAACATATTGGCTAGTGAACAATCCCAATTAGCAATCTCTTCCGATTGATCATTGTACACAAGACTTATTTATTCGCGTATAATGTGCACTTGTGTGTTATATGCAATTTTAATTATGGGCAATTAAATTCTGGAAACATATGTTTGTCGTGTATAATACGCACAGACATTTATTTTGTATCATTTCAGGCTGTCAGCAGAAACCACAATATTTACAATGTTTCAACTCTGTTTTGTTTTCTCACCAAAATTATATATTTAATAAGAGCCCCCTATTTCTAATATTGAGAGCACCCTGGGCGCTTATTACGTCAAATACAGTATTTGTCATGTGAATTATCACTAGGAAGAAGAGCATGTCAATCTCATTCAAATCAGATCTTAGTTCTCGCTACTGCTAACAAAGATCTGAGGACATCCCATTACGGGTCACATCAGACTTTGACAGACCAATGGAATGACTAACAAGAAGCTGACAATATCCAAGGCAGCTTAATCATGCTTTACGGCACTAGTTTCAAACTGTCCACTACGCAAAACATATTTTGTCATATACTCCATTAAAAAATTAAAGTCTGAACAAAAGAACATTCTGGAATGGCTGATGGATGGTCTAGATTGTATGAATACAGACATAAAGTCCATAACTGTCGTTCGGAATCCCCTGGGTTTTTTTTTCGAGGTTGCAAGATCAAAAATCACATTCCAACTGTCACTTTCATGATCTGATAAGCGATGCTCTGATTGGTCAGATAACTGGTTCTTCTGACATGACCCGCAATGGGATGTCCTCAGAGAACTAAGATCTGATTTTAATGAGATTGGAGAGCATATGTACCTGTAAATTCAACAAAAGTAATAAGATTACAAAGGTAAAACTTGGTGACTAGCAATGGACAAATGGAAGCCAACACATAATAGTTAATTGCAGTAAAAATTCCCCATTAGAAATAAAAAAGTTCCCAATTCCTCAGAATTGACGTTAATAAGAATATTACACAAAAACTTTTTTTTTAATAATATCACAATTTTCCCCCCAAATTTGTCTGCCAAAGGCATTTTGTTTGAAATCCAAGTAAATCCCTGCAGCCTTGATTTATCGCTGTATGAGCAGTGTAATGAGATGGTAGATGCTGGAGGGTATCTTCATGTCTTGACAGCTTGGATTATTCCTCATGGTGACCCGTGAAGATCCGGGGTAGAATAGGTCTTCAGCAACCCATGCTTGCCGTAAAAGGTGACTATGCTTATCGTAAGAGGCAACTAACGGGATCAGATGGTCAGGATCGCTGACTTGGTTGATGCATGTCATCTTGCCCCAATAGCATGGATCGATGATCATGATGTCAATCTCTGGATTGTCTGGTCCAGACTCAATTATTTACGGACCACTGTCATATAGCTGGAATATTGCTGAGTGTGGCGTTAAACAACAAACAAACAAACAAACAAACAAACAAACATTCTTCATGGCTGGGAAAAACTTGCTTTTTTACAGCTATGCAAAAGCTGGAATTTTTGCTGACTGCATACAAAACAACATTCACTTGTATTTTTTGCTTGATTTTAGGAGACCAGACACATCAACGTATATGATACCTTGTTATGGCAATCCTGGTGATACTAAATTTGAGATCATATTTCCTCAGTGACCTCATGATCTCGTTGCAGGCGCGAGCTGAGATCGAGGCTCAGCTTCGAGAGCAGGCTGTGCTCCGAGAAGCAGAACAACAACGACTCAAAGAGTTGGAGGAGATCCGACAACAGATGGAGAAGCTCCTGGAGGAGGAACGCCAAGCCAAGCGGGACGAGGAGATTGTCCGCAACCTGCAAGCAAGGTACCCGCAAGGAGCCGTCCCACTGCCCATTAGGTCGGGGAGAAGGGAAGGGGGTGAGGGGGGTCAGAGTCTGCTGCTGCATCGTCCCCGGCGGAGGCGGCGAGTGAGGCGGGAGGTTGAGGAAATGGAGGAGATGGAGGATGAGCATTATGATACGGAGGACATTGGGAAGAAAGGGAGGAAGAAGCCGTGTGACAACATGCCTCCGTTGTGTAACTGTTACTGCACTCTGATGTAGACACGAGACACACGTCGTGCAAACATGCGCCATCACTGAGGGCAGATTGTTGAAATGATATGTGTGTTAATGGCTGTGTGTTGTATTTATACAGTCATGTCTTTGTTTCTTACTTGGGAAATGGCATCTTTTATATTTTTGTACTTTTTATGTATTTGTTCATCTATATGTCTGGATAATTGGTCTATATTTATCGTATTTCATAGTTGTTGTTGTAAATAATGTGAAATGGAAAACATGTAATGATACAGATACACATGGAATGATACAGACATGGACTGATACAGACATGGACTGATACACACATGGATTGATACAGACACACTTGAAATGATACATGGAATGGTACACACATGGACTGATAAACACATGGATTGATACACACATGGAATGATACACACATGGATTGATGCACACATGAAATGATACACACATGGAATGATACACACATGGATTGATACGCACATGGAATGATACACACATGGATTGATACACACATGGAATGATACACACACAGACTCATACAAACATAGAATGACACTCATGGATTGATACATGGAATGATACACATGGATTGATACACACATAGAATAAAAGACATGGATTGATACACACATGGATTGATACAGACACTTGAAATGATACATGGAATGATACACACATGGATTGATACATGGATTGATACACACATGGACTGATAAACACATGGATTGATACACACATGGAATGATACACACATGGATTGATGCACACATGAAATGATACACATGGAATGATACACACATGGAATGATACACACATGGATTGATACACACATGGAATGATACACACACGGACTCATACAAACATAGACTTACACTCATGGATTGATACATGGAATGATACACATGGATTGATACACACATGGATTGATACCTACACATGGACAGATACAAACAGAGAATGATACACAGGGATTGATACCTACACATGGACTGATACAGAGAATGATACACATGGATTGATACCTACGCATGGATTGATACCTACACATGGATTGATACACATGGACTGATACACACAGAGAATGATACACATGGATTGATACCTACACATGGACTGATACAAACAGAGTATGATACACAGATGGAATGATACACACATGGATTGATACAATCATAGAATGACTCACATGGATTGATACATGGAATGCAACAAGCGTGGAATGATACACACATGGACTGATACAAACATATGATGACACACATGGACTGATACAGTCACACTTGGATAATTACATGGAAAGATACACACGTAGAGTGATGCAGATGTCCACAGAATGATACAGACATGGAATTATACCTACACATGGAGTGATATAGACATGGACTGACACACATGGAATGATACAATGTGGACTGATACATGGAACGATACATGGACTGATACACACATTGAGTGATACAAACATAGAATGAAACACATGGAATGATACCTACACATGGAGTGATACACACATATACACACATGGAATGATACACACATGGAATGATACACACATGAAATGATACACGTGGAATGATACAAACATAGAATGGCACACATGCATTGATACCTACACATGGATTGATACACACATGGATTGATACACACATGGAATGATACACACATGGATTGATACAGACATACTTAGAATGATACAGACACACTTGGACTGATACATGGAGTGATACACACATGGAATGATACATGTGGAATGATACAAACATAGAATGACACACATGGATTGATACAGACACACTTAGAATGATAGACACACTTGGACTGATACATGGAGTGATACACACATGGAATGATACATGGAATGATACACTTGGAATGATACACACATGAACTGATACACACATGGACTGACACACACATGGATTGATACACACACACTTGGAATGATACACACATGGATTGATACAAACAAGGAATGATACAAACAAGGAATGATACACACATGAACTGATACACACTTACTAATGACTGCAATAAGAGGAATGAAGACAAGCAATAATGTATGACATATTGTACTCATTAATGATGTGACCCGTGAAGATTGCGGGGTAGAATAGGTCTTCAGCAACCCATGCTTGTCGTAAAAGGTGACTATGCTTGTCGTAAAAGGTGACTAACGGGATCGGGTGGTCAGGCTCACTGACTTGGTTGATACATGTCATCGATCCCAATTGCGTGGATCGATGCTCATGATATCAATCACTGGATTGTCTGGTCCAGACTCGATTATTTACAGACTGCTGTCATATAGCTGGAATATTGCTGAGTGCAGCGTTAAACAACAAACAAACAAACAACATTAATGATGTGGATGCCTTAACTGTGGGAAATGTCTGTACATCATAAATAGTTTAGCATTTTGTGTGTCTGTGTATCTGTATTATTGATGTTTGCATATTGTATTTAATAACCTTATAAGAATCAAGGGATAGCGTTACTAATTTGCCTGGCTATCTAACCATTGCAAACATGTCAAAGATGTGATTCAACTTATAGTCCAGCTTCATAACTTGTATTTAGTTATATCAAAACTAGTCTAGATAATAAATTAGGCTAATATAGCATCAACGTCAACATTTGGGAAAGATTTATTCTTTCTAAACAGAAACGTATTTGATTTAATAAAAGATTTCATAGGCTATATGTTTAATCTAAGTGAGTTCAGCCACATATTCAACTTGCTTGTGATACTGATGATGACGTCAGTGATTATATGCATCTTGCACACAAATAGCATGTCATGGGGCAGTCACAATTGCATGTAATCTGGTATCCTTGGTAACACCTCCTGGGCGTGGTCCCCCCCTCATGTGGCTGGTGTGGCTGTTGCAGGATCTTGGAGGAGGAGTTTGAGAAGAGGACGGAGTTGGAGAAGCTGAAGGAGCAGCAGGAGGTGTTGCTGGAGGAGGAGCGCAGGCACCGGGCAGGCATGGAGAAGGCCCGGGTAGAGGCCGACTCACAGCTCATTGAGGCCAGAGATAGGCTGAAGGAGCTGGAGCTGGAGGGGAAGCAGGCTGAGAGCCAACTGACGGTGAGTGTTGGAGTTGCTGTTCTCTGTGTACAGTGCTGGAGTTGTTGTTCTCTGTGTACAGTGCTGGAGTTGTTCTGTGTGTACAGTGGTGGAGTTGTTGTTCTGTGTGTACAGTGGTGGAGTTGTTGTTCTCTGTGTACAGTGCTGGAGTTGTTGTTCTCTGTGTACAGTGCTGGAGTTGTTGTTCTCTGTGTACAGTGCTGGAGTTGTTGTTCTCTGTGTACAGTGCTGGAGTTGTTGTTCTCTGTGTACAGTGCTGGAGTTGTTGTTCTCTGTGTACAGTACTGGAGTTGTTGTTTTCTGTGTACAGTGCTGGAGTTGTTGTTCTCTGTGTACAGTACTGGAGTTGCTGTTCTCTGTGTACAGTGCTGGAGTTGTTGTTCTGTGTGTATAGTGCTGGAGTTGTTGTTCTCTGTGTACAGTGCTGGAGTTGCTGTTCTCTGTGTACAGTACTGGAGTTGTTCTGTGTGTACAGTGCTGGAGTTGCTGTTCTCTGTGTACAGTGCTGGAGTTGTTCTGTGTGTACAGTGGTGGAGTTGTTGTTCTCTGTGTACAGTGCTGGAGTTGTTGTTCTCTGTGTACAGTGCTGGAGTTGTTCTCTGTGTACAGTGCTGGAGTTGTTGTTCTCTGTGTACAGTGCTGGAGTTGTTCTGTGTGTACAGTGCTGGAGTTGCTGTTCTCTGTGTACAGTGCTGGAGTTGTTCTGTGTGTACAGTGGTGGAGTTGTTGTTCTCTGTGTACAGTGCTGGAGTTGTTGTTCTCTGTGTACAGTGCTGGAGTTGTTCTCTGTGTACAGTGCTGGAGTTGTTGTTCCCTGTGTACAGTGCTGGAGTTGCTGTTCTCTGTGTCCAGTACTGGAGTTGTTGTTCTCTGTGTACAGTACTGGAGTTGCTGTTCTCTATGTCCAGTACTGGAGTTGCTGTTCTCTGTGTCCAGTACTGGAGTTGTTGTTCTCTGTGTACAGTGCTTGAGTTGCTGTTCTCTGTGTACAGTACGGGAGTTATTCTCTATGTCCAGGGGAATATGGCAATCACCATGTATGTCCGTCCGTCCCTTCATCTGTCCCTCTGTCCATGCCTCTGTCCATCTCTCCTTTATTTTATGTTTTTGAGTTTTTTACGTTTCAATAATGACATGGTGGACTTACACTGAAGATGAGGGTAGTGCTCGTTTTCCTGAATGGAACTCCCAAAATGTTTAATATTTCTTTATGAAACCTTCTATGGAGATCAGTCTGGTGATGAACTGGTGCATTTTGATGATTTGGGATATCAGAGCTCGAAAAATCCACCTGTCCGCTCGTATTGAAGAGCGGTAGCATTTGCAGTAAACCAACAATCGTCCTACCGGGGGAGTACATATTTCAGTCATATCAATTCATCTCTAATCAAATTCAATAAGGGGCGGTCGGGTAGCCTAGTGGTTAAAGCGTTCGCTGGTCACACCGAAGACCCGGGTTTGATTCCCGACATGGGTACAATGTGTGAAGCCCATTTCTGGTGTCCCCCGCCGTGATATTGCTGGAATATTGCGAAAAGCGGCGTAAAACCATACTCACTCACTCACTCACTCCCTCAAATTCAATAAAATACTGTATTGCATTGGCACACGCCCCTCTAGGTTATTCAGTATTTTTGAAAAAAATATTCAAGTATTATGCACAGAAAAAAATTACATCATATCCCTTCAGCAACTTCATCAAACGATCGGGTGATAACAAACTTAAAATTTGAGATAAAACGTCACAAGACAGTATTATTTACTGTTTACATTGTATTACCTGTTGCTAGGCATGTTTTATATGCAAAGATTAAGATTACTGTGGGTATTTTCTTGTAAACGAAGCCAGAAACAGCACTCAGCTGTACACACTGTTTCACTCAATCTACCAGTGATTCGGTTAGAAGTTACCCAATAATGAAAAAAAAGGATTTTGATGCAATGATCAGCAGAATTGTATCTGAAACTACTTTTTATCAGAAATAATATATATTCCAATATAGTTTCATTTTAGTTGCAGCTTTACTATGTATATTTGAAATAATAATAACCATAAGTGAAGCACTTTCATAGGACTGATTGCTATTGCCGGATATTTTTACGTATGGACAAGTCACTGTCGTGGCTCCTGCCATTCTGATGGAGAAAACCTTATGTTGACATAGTAATGTCAAACTACAACAAATATGCCTTTGAACGAGTCAAAGTATGACATTTATGATATAGATATCCATTCTCTGTCAAACAAAGTTCGTTTCAAGGCATCAGTGGCAGTAATCTGACTGTGATTGCTGTAAATATTGGTGAGTTGTGCGATCTACTGATCACTTCACAAACCATTGTGTCGAAATTAATGTAAACAAAAGTGAATTAAATTTTGAATACAATTAATGAAATAGGTTTCAAACATGAGTCAAGATATACAGTGAACAATTTTATAACCAGACAGTGTAATTACATAATTAATTTGCGTACTTCAGTATGGATTTCTTGACATGGTGTTACGTGCTCACGGTAATGTCTTTGCGTCGGGAAAATAACCATCACAAATTATGATGATGTGTATTTGTAATCCATCACTGGAATCCTTTGTTCGTCTGATGTCATCCAATCATAAACCTACTATTGTACAGCTATCAAAATTCATATTGAATGCAATGAAATCGTGTAAGTTACTTTATCAGTAATTGTATTCCTGTAATGTTATGTTCTATGGGGCTGTGGCCTCTAACTTGAAATAAAGGTGTTGTAGAGAACATGAAACTTTATAAAATTTATAAGGGCAAGTGAAAACATCGCAGGACGAGTACAAAATAATATCTACTTGCCCTGTAGGACAAGTTATGTTTGTGAAATTTTTCAAGCCCTGGTTATTGAAAAATACTGAACAGCATTATTTTGTTCTTCACTTAACTGAAGGTATTCAATTGCAATGAACCAAAAGTGGGTTGTAAATAGCCAAACTCCTTTTCCGTGTTGCACTATTTCGGGTGGATAAGGTGTCTCCTGATGGAGGAGGGGCGGTCGGGTAGCCTAGCGGTTAAAGCGTTCGCTCGTCACACCGAAAACCCGGGTTCAATTCCCGACATGGGTACAATGTGTGAAGCTCATTTCTGGTGTCCCCTGCAGTGATATTGCTGGAATATTGCTAAAAGCAGTTTAAAACCATACTCACTCACTCCTGATGGAGGAATGGATGAGTCAAACAAGTCTTTTTATAAAACAATTTACTTTTCGGACCCTCCAGTTTGTCCAGTAATCAATTTATTGTTTGTGTAAAACCTGAAGACATGTTAGCTTTTAAATCATTTTCAGGAACAGAATACCTGTTTAAACATAAGCAAAAACATATAAAACTTTTTGGCCCCCCCATTATGTCTAAAGGAGGTGTTACTTACAGTTGTAGACTTGCACAAGTTGCCAAGGCAATAATCAAAACTTGAATTCATATTTTCTTGATTTTTTATAATAAGAATAAGTTGTCCCAAGAGACTGGCATCCTGACTGTCTACTTATCTGGACTTGCTTATTATTAGGATAGAATTACGCCCGTGAAGATCTGAGGTAGAATAGGTCTTCAGCAACCCATGCTTGCCTTAAGAGGCGACTATGCTTGTCGTAAGAGGCGACTAACGGGATCGGATGGTCAGGCTCGCTGATTTGGTTGATGCATGTCATCGTGCCCCAATTGTGTGGATTGATGCTCATGATGTCAATCACTGGATTGTCTGGTCCACACTCGATTATTTACAGACCGCTGTCATATAGCTGCAATATTGCTGAGTGTGGCGTTAAACAACAAACAGAGAGAGAGATAGAATTACTATCATCCATGGATTTATCATTTCGTACAGACCTATAGCAAAACTACAGTTGGTACCCTCTGCATTGCAGGAAGCAACCAGCAAGTTAAGACTTGCGGAGGAGGAGCGGGTCAAGCTGGAGGCAAGGCTGAAGGTGAAGGAATCTAAGACCATCGGGCTAGCCAGACCCACGTGTGTTCCTGATCCCGATCCCTTCACCACACACAGGGGCAAAGGTGCATTTGTACAGGCAGACTTCCAGGCCAAGGCTGCCCACATTGCAAACACCACCACACAGCTATAGTGAAGAGCATGCTTGGAGGTCATTGGCAGAGACATTGGCAGAGATATTGGAAACATGGTTGTGGGCATAGAGGCACCTGAGCACTGGACCAGAACATGTTTGATGCACTTGATATATTCACGGTTGTTGAGACCCCCAAACGCTATAGACCAATACACAGTTGTAGTTCAGACACCAGAGCACTATAGACCAATACACAGGTGTAGTTGAGACATCAGAACACTATAGACCAATACACAGGTGTAGTTGAGACATCAGAACACTATAGACCTATACACAGGTGTAGTTGAGACATCAGAACACTATAGACCAATACACAGGTCAGAACACTATAGACCAATACACAGGTGTAGTTGAGACATCAGAACACTATAGACCAATACACAGGTGTAGTGAAGACATCAGAACACTATAGACCAATACACAGGTCAGAACACTATAGACCAATACACAGGTGTAGTTGAGACATCAGAACACTATAGACCAATACACAGGTCAGAACACTATAGACCAATACACAGGTGTAGTGAAGACATCAGAACACTATAGACCAATACACAGGTGTAGTTGAGACACCAGAACACTATAGACCAATACACAGGTGTAGTGAAGACATCAGAACACTATAGACCAATACACAGGTGTAGTGAAGACATCAGAACACTATAGACCAATACACAGGTCAGAACACTATAGACCAATACACAGGTGTAGTTGAGACATCAGAACACTATAGACCAATACACAGGTCAGAACACTATAGACCAATACACAGGTGTAGTGAAGACATCAGAACACTATAGACCAATACACAGGTGTAGTTGAGACACCAGAACACTATAGACCAATACACAGGTGTAGTGAAGACATCAGAACACTGTAGACAAATACACAGGTGTAGTGAAGACATCAGAACACTATAGACCAATACACAGCTGTAGTTGAGACATCAGAACACTATAGACCAATACACAGGTGTAGTGAAGACATCAGAACACTATTGACCAATACACAGGTGTACCAAGTTAAATATGTATGTTGTCGATGACTCCCATCTGGGAAACACTGTGGTTTATATGTTTATATGACCTGTGACATCCCCTGAGTACCTGACCAGGTAAGGTGAGGATGCTGTTTATATTTAGATGTCCTTTTAGTCTGTGGATGCTGAGGATACAGCAATTGTGATGACATTATATTTTATATCTTTTACTGTTACTGTTTATTATAAATGATATGGCAGTCTGCCAGGACTTCATGTTTGGGATATATATTTATGTAAATAGATTCTGTTCGGATACTTTACCGTGAATGACTTTGAAAAAGTGTGTGATATGTTATATTGAGTGTATATTAATGAATATACATTTAAGTTTTATGTTGTAGACTTTTGTGGTTAGATCAACATTTTGCCCACAATCCCGAAGAATAGGGTCATCACTGAAGGCACTTGTACTTAAGATTGTTTGTATTTTTCCAAGTGCTAGAAATTAACGATGGTCCGTGATGTTCCCTCTGTGGTACATGTATTTTATTCAGGAGATTCCTCAAGTTTTATTTTGTTAGATGACGTTTGTGTCACGGACCCATCAACATTTTTATCCTTAGTTACAAACATTGTTTCAAAGAACATGATCTTTTGAGAAAGTCAAGAAATATTTTATGTAAGTGTGGGATGTTAACACAGGTTAACATTTGGCAGGGGTTACAATATCTGTGATTTCTAGAATTGGAAAAATATTATACTTGTGTGTTTTTTTCATTTGCTGTGTTTAAAAACACTTGTCTTAGCATATAGCATCTCCTTGTATGGGACTGATCATTTATTATAGAAAGGGGTGGTCAGGTGTGATCAGACAAAGGACTGTATTATATTTTGCTGACCATAACCTTTAACACATCCCCACACCCCCCACACACCCAAACATTTCCCCAATACATGCACCAGTTTGTTAGGCCCCTCCTCCTCTAGTAAATGTCCAGCCCCTCAATAATGTTCAAATATATTTTTTTAATATATTTTCATCCACCCTCAGGGGCGGTCGGGTAGCCTAGTGGTTAAAGCGTTCGCTCGTCACGCCGAAGACCCAGGTTCGAATCCCGACATGGGTACAATGCGTGAAGCCCATTTCTGGTGTCCCCCGCCGTGATATTGCTGGAATATTGCTAAAAGCGGCGTAAAACCATACTCATCCACCCTCAGCCCCCTGCCAATATTTGTGTCCCTCCTCTTCTGCTGTGGGGGCGGTCGGGTAGCCTAGTGGTTAAAGCGTTCGCTCGTCACGCCGAAGACCCGGGTTCGAATCCCGACATGGGTACAATGCGTGAAGCCCATTTCTGGTGTCCCCAGCCGTGATATTGCTGGAATATTGCTAAAAGCAGCGTAAAACCATACTCACTCACTCACTCACTCTTCTGCTGTGTCATCATCACCCCCCTCCACACACACACCTTAATGGTCCTTCATCCCTCTATAATAAATGACCAGTCCCTGATGACCTGAATGTGTGCATGATAGTACCACGGTAATGGCCCTTGGTGTATACCCTATGTATGTTGCTGGGGTGCGGGGTTCTTAGACTCTGTTAAGCATGCTGTGTATGTGGGGGACAACACTATAATGGCAACCAGTAATCTGAACTGTCGTTTATTTGTGACAAAAGTCTTGTACAGTGTTTGAAGGTTTGAAGGGTTATTCTTTTATCATGTAAAATGTAAAGTGATGATGATGATGATGATGATGATGATGATGATGATGATGATACGAGTGCTTCCAGAGGACCCAACTTTGCACCCGGAAGTCAATTATCATAATGTTTTTATAATTTTTAATTTATTTTAGCAATAATTAGCATAATTATATCAAAATTAGACTACAATATGTGATATTGCCAGGTGCAGCTGTTAAGTAGTTTCAACCAGATTAAAACTAGAGATCATTGAAATAATTATAAAGCTATGTAAGGTGTTACCATCTCACAAATTACAACTGCAACACCTGTCCAGCATCGGCCATGTGTGAAGGACGTGGCAGTCTTTGATCAGTAATGTATATTGCCGAAAGAAATTTGACACTGAATCAAAGAAGAATTCTATTCATAATCAACATAGTCAGTTTCACTGTCATTACCAACTTCATAATAACAATATGGTTATGTGAACATCCATCCACGCCACCTGAACTTTGATCCTCCACACACACATCCTCACTCACCCACACCGTTCCAAACACATGCACACTCACCCCCAACTTTCTACATATCCCTCCCCCAACCCTATACAAACAGCAGACATAAGATATTCAGTCCCCCAGCAGGGAAGGCCGTTCCCCCCCACCCCGGATTTTTTTATAGAAAACAGTTTTATTTGAATCATGAAAATACAAGTTGGTGACAAGTGATACTTGTACACATATTTGCCCCCCTGTCAAAAAAGGTTAACTACGGCCTTGGCTGTAGGTACAATGAATATATTGTGCATCCCATGTTTTCTGTGTCCATCCATTCTCTACTTTTGTATCTTGTAAAATCCTCCTCCTCTCTCCCCCCCCATCCCCCCCCCCCCCCTCCAACACCACCACACACACACCCAACCCTCTAAACACACACATACACCAAACACAGTACTTTGTTTTACCTTGTGAATGCTCCAGAGAAACAGGAACTAGTCATTATATAACACAGCTTTTGTTGATAATAGGCGAAGGTGACCAACGTTACTCTTGTCACGTGATAGTAAGGTTGAAGCAAGTCATCGATTCGCCACCATATTTATACACTATATGCTTCCTGCTCCATTGATTCAAACCGTTTCACAAATGTTTGGGGGCCATTCTAACAAGGTGACCAAGTCTTGTAAGGTGTTGCTATGTGCTGCGCAGAGTTGCTTCCCTTGGGCATGCCGGAAACTAATTCATCATGGGTTCGAATCCCGGATCTACCATGATTATGCTTCTTGGTTTTCAGCACCATACCCGCACAATTTTCAAAACAAACTACAGACACTTATATCATATACACTTGTTCATTTAATTTAAGCTCAACTACGGTATTTATACATTGACCGCCTCTGTGGTCTACCATCCGCCCGGAGAGTGGAAGGTCCGGAGTTCGTCCCGGTCACGTCATAATAAATGATGTTAAAAGATGTTATTTGTTGTTACCCTGCCTGGCGGTCAGCATTAAGGACCAATCAAGGACTGGTCGGCTCGGTGTGTACTACTGTGTCTGAGTGGGGTATTCATGTTCTTCTATTCCTGTGGGGTATCTCAGTGGGCTAGCACTATAAAATCGGCATTTGACGGGACTAGTACAAGCAGCCACACACAGGTCTATGCACATCACTGTATGAGTGCAATTTTCTTGAACGTTTCATCTTACCAGCTCATAAATTGATAATCATTTTTTAACAAACATTAAACATTTAGAATCTATGGAAGCAATTTTTTAGTAACATGATTATGAAGAACAATATAGTTATTATACTGTATCCCATTTGTAGAAACCATTTTATTTTATATGGATGAAATATGAGCACAACTATAAATAATAAAGACACTTTTTTCTATTATGTTGATAAGGAATACAAGATGTTTGTATCAATTGTGAGGATATATATTATGTATTTATCAGACGGTTTTCAAACAGATATTTTGTGTTTATCAAAGTCGTTATTTGTTTATAATAGCAGTAGGAAGATAACGCCAAGTGACTTTTTGGCGATAAATATGATTTATTCAAGGTAGTTTACTCCAACCTGTGTATTGTGATAGGTGTCGTGTTACAAACCTTAATGTAAAACTTACTCTGAATGTATAAAGAAATACATTAAGGGTTGAAGTGATAGATAATATTTATTTATATTAAGGGTTATCACTATAACATAATACTTATCGAACATTCATGAAACATCGCAGAATTAATTGATCGTTACTTTGTCAAGATGTGAAAATGGTCAGGCTTCATAAAGGGTTTATGACCCCTAACCCTTTACCGAATTTTATCAAACTTACTGTTTCTGTTTTACAAAGGTTATTTTTCGATACTCTGCAAGGTAACCTCGTTACTATCCTCATACCGTAACGACGGAAAGGAGAACTCAGCCCAAGCAGGTCAGAGAAAGTTGCAGATGGTGGTGGGTTGTTAGAATGGTCCATTAACAGAGTTTTAGGCATAAAACAAGGGCTTGTGGTGCCTTATTAGGGATATGACAGTTAAGCATACACGGAAATCATATGCTATTACAAACAACAGGAATTCCAATGCAATGATGTTTGGTTGAAAAAACACCCGTAGGTTTCCCAAGTACCGTACCTAGTCAAATATAGCCACTTTAAGTATACTTTTTCGGGTATGAAGTCTATACCTTTTCTATAGCAGTTTGGGGCGGTTGGGTAGCCTAGTGGTTAAAGCGTTGGCTTGTCACGCCGAAGACCCAGGTTCGAATCCCGACATGGGTACAATGTGTGAAGCCCATTTCTGGTGTCCCCCGCCGTGATATTGCTGGAATATTGCTAAAAGCGGCGTAAAACCAAACTCACTCACTCACTCTATAGCAGTTTAGCACATCCTGTAGTAAGACATGGATTGTGAATAGATTTCGCATGACGGATGACGCACGCCGCACAAAGACGGATGGCAATACGTCACACAAGCCTTTCGGACATCTTGAATGTATTAATTAAATTAAATGTAAAAATTAAGCCAAAACTTTGCCTTAGATGGCTATAACCTAGAAAAATAAACAAAAAGTGTTATTCATTTTCGATATGATTTAGGTTACAAACTTTACATTTTCTAAATTCACAGGGGCGGTCGGGTAGCCTAGTGGTTAAAGCGTTCGCTCGTCACGCCGAAGACCCGGGTTCGATTCCCGACATGGGTACAATGTGTGAAGCCCATTTCTGGTGTCCCCCGCCGTGATATTGCTGGAATATTGCTAAAAGCGGCGTAAAACCATACTAACTCACTCTTTATTCACAAGGAATATTGAAATGTCGTCCACGTTCAATTTCTATATTGTGAGAACTGAGCCGAAAACGAGTCAATGTGGTCCTGAATTAATTTACAGTTATACTTCTCAAATAATTCTCACATGAAAAGGATGTTTTAAACTTTCATAATAGCCCATTTGGGGGCTTTTGCATAGATCACAATGCCAAACCTGAAAAAAAGTTATAACCGCTGACGTAAATAATTTAAAAATGCGGTTTCATTACCACATGTTTGAAAGCACCAAATCACCAAATCCTAATCTGAAAATAACAGTTTTAAGTTTCGTTACCCAACTTACGTGGCCTTGTTCATCGTACAACTGCAGCATATTGTAACATTTTGGGGCCAAACGAGATTCCGGTATATTATAAAGAGACAGCCAATATTTGACACATTTCAAAACAGCGGGCGACTGAAAAGAACATCTGCCAGTCTCGGTTCTATGTCACCGAGCCCCCAAATTTCAGCCCCGTACAAAAATATTGGTGACTTGTTATCTTTGTATCAAAACATTTGAAGTGAAGGTGAGGCGAGTATGGTTTCAAGGAATGTGTACTAATTAACAGGACCATGAACACCTTTCTTGCCTGAATTGCATTATTATTTAAGCAATCGACCTCAGTAATCTATTGCTACAATACAAGCCAAGATATGCTCGTGGGTTTCACCGAAGTGGTAAACGTCTGACACCTGCATCACTTCGGGCTTTCCTCCCACATTAAGCTGACACGCCGTGATATAACTGGAATACTGTTAAATGCGGCGTAAATCCCAACTCACTCACTCACTCACTCACTCACAAGCCAAGATAACTGTATCCAGTAACTACTTCATACGCATTTCCACCATAATACCATAATAATAACGTGATAACCCTCCCTTATTTTGGAAAAAACAACAATCATATAAAGCAACAATGTCATTTTCAGATACAAGAGAAACAAAGCCAATGTCGGACAGTTTGTTGGTTAAATCTTCGATATTCCTTGCAATGTAAGATATGCTTTTGCATAACCTTTGACCTTGACGGCAGCACCCGCTCCTGATCCACAGTTGACTGTGTTCCACTTGAGACGCGATCTGGGACTGGAGCCGACAACTGATACTGTGTGGCTAGTACTAGCTGGCATGTCCTCAATAACGAGTGTCGCTTATTACGAATAATTGCATGAAACCGAGCAAACACAATAAAAAAAACGTGAAAATAGCAAAATGTATCCTATATTTCCAATCAAACTTTGTTTTTAAGAATATTTTACATTAAGGGGCGATATGTACGATATTAACCCTTAACGTAAAAAAAATTACATTAAGTGTTGCGGGTTGTTACTAAATTCTTAATTTTTAATTACTTACATTAAGAGTA